GAGCTGCATTTTTGCCCAGTAGTTCTTTGAGCATGTCATTTTTCAAGGAAACAACAGCTAAAAGTAAAGTTCCCACAACATACAATAACGAACTTCCATAAATGGTGTTGAATCTACCCAAGTAGGTGTCTGCCAACCATCCTCCTAACAAAGGTACAAGGTAACATGTTCCTAGAGAGTGGGAAAACATCAAGACTAAAATTATATCCATGTTATAAAGAAGAAGAATTTTCTCCTCAATACAATCAAAAAAAATGTTTCTTCTGTTCATGGTTTATTCATGGAAACTAACCATTCCCAGAAACTTGCTTTTGATTTTATTAAATTAGGTTTGGTTGCTGTAAATTAAATAATAGATTGTCACAAAACACTCATAACACTCATGAGAGTTTCTTCAATAACATTTATGACATGATACACATGGAGAACATCTGATCACAAAATAACTTTGATAAAGTGGTCAGAATGGAATTTTAACTAGTTACCTTGTTATACAAATTATGATTTAAATAGCATTTGCATGCCAAAATAATGTTTAATAAAGATAGCCATTACAAAACATGTCCATCAAATTTCAGGCAAAACTAAATATTTTTGTAGGAGATAATTGTGGCTCAGCACTCACTCCAAAGATCTTATCACTGTCCGCTGAATGTATTATACAATTTAAGCTTTTGAGGTGATGGTATATAATCAAATATCTCCAAATGATATTTGTCATTCTTCCTATAATCTTTGTAATCAGCCAATCAATTCAAAGTTTCAACATCCCCCCCCTCAGGCAACCCACCGGTTTTTGACTGTCATCTGCATGTGTGTTCAGAGGTGGGGAATTTGAACCCTGCCTGGCTGGGGTGGGTAATTTGAGCTGGAAAAGTGAAGGTTTTAAATCTTGGTCAATGTCTAGAAAATCATGGTTGCTGATTTTGCCTTTAACAAAAAAATTAGGAGGGGCATTTGAACACAGTTTTGAGTTTGGACACGCCAATCTTAAGAAGTTCAAATTTCAAATGCCTGGGTAGCCCGAGGGGTGGGGGGGGGGGGTGTTGAAGTTTCACATGGATTGACAGTGGATTGACAGTGACAGCATATTCACATTACAAGTAGCATACATATAAGTTCTCACTTGGTAACTCTTCCAATAAAAAAGGGTTGACCAGCCTATACATAGGCAGTGAAACATGGGGAGGAAGGGGGGTGGGAATTTTTTCATTTGAAGAGCTCTGGCCAGTGATTAAAAATTGTTTTGGAAAATTTAGGTGCACATGTAGCTTAGACAAGTAGCTCCCAACACTTTAAACCGCTCACCACCTCTGCCATATTGAGTGGTGAGTACTGCTAACTTATCAATGCAGGTGGACTCCTAAAACTAAGCCCAGGTATAATCACAAAGTAACCAATGGTACTAGAGATTGATTACAGTTTATACTATTACCAGTTCATGGAGTACATATCACACATCAACTAAACCATTCTTTCATTTATGAACATACACTTTTACCAGCAATTAATTTTATTTTGACACTATATTCAGATATGCATAAGAATTCCTACTAACCTTGAAACAAATAACTAATAGTGGATGGCCAGGGTGATTTAAGATTTAATTCATTGCTAGCAAATAACAGCAAGTTAGCCGTCAATCCATAGAAGGTCAAACGTTCACATAACTCTGTGAGAAGAATGCAGCTGGTGACGAGGATCTTTTGACGACGCCCCAGTCGACAATTACTAACTAGAGCATTAGCCCTGTACTCTGTGGGAGCTGAAGGGCTTCTGTTGTCACCTGAGATAAGTGGAGAATTCACATCTTCAGCACTTGCTTCTAGTGACATGTTGAAGAGTCAGATCAGCAATGGCACCATTTCTGCAATATAAACAGCAGACTTTAAGCGCCTTAATCCTGTAAACCAGAATGTAATTTCTCTTAATAGTAATATTGCTAAATCATTCATCAAGATCACAAAAAAAAAAGAAAATGATTTTGAACCATAAAAGCTTTGATTATTACCCAAATTCTCCTTGTCAGTACCAAAGGAAATGTATCAAGAAGGGTATAGAGAACATAGATACTGATGTTAGGGTGTAAAGGTTTACTTTGTAGATCCAGCCAAATTTTATAGCTACAATCCATTTTGACAATGTTAACTGTGTTTCAATGTATTCCATTCCTCCTAAGGTTGCACATCTAGTTAGCCATTATTATCACCCTGCACCCTGCTTGTAGTGCCATATTACTGGGGTATAGATATCACTTTTTCTCGGCTTAATGAGTTACAATATAGTTATACTTTCTAGAGTTCACAGTGCTTTGCAGCTAAAAGCTCAGCTGTCTTTGCATATGGCAGACATTTCAAATTTAAAGATTCAAAAGTTGCTCCTATACATAGCAGTCTTACATGTTTGTATATTAAGAGTAGACTGAGACAGAAACTAAGCATAGAATGTGATAGAGGAACAAAGACCTGAGAAAGATTATTTTTTAGCATGAATAGGCAGCTGTATGCAGATTTAGGAGTTTTTACCCTTTAACTCCCAAAAGGGATTAACATGTAACCTCTCCTTATAATATCCAAACATTATCCACCATTTGAACATGTATGAGAATACTGAAACTTATCAGGTAGAAGTTGTTATCTGGATCTTACACCAAATTCTTGTAGCTTATTTAGAGGGAAATGTGTAGCAGTTGGAAGGGAGGATTAGCAACCAGATCTTGGGAGTTAATGGGTGAAAAGAAGAATGTGTGGGTCAAAATATACATTAAATAATGTTGTGTAGTGATTTGAAAAACAAAACAATCACACAGACATTAAATGAGTGTAATGCCTGAAAGTAGTGTTGCTATTTCTCTTCATCTTGTCCAAGTAGGGCAATCAATTTTTCTAGGGAAGGAAGGGCGTTCAGGTAAAAAAAATCCATTAAATAATTTGTTCTGCAGTTATTTTGAGACAAGAGAAATTCCCACACGTACATGAACGTATAAATAAACTGAATAATAGAAAGGAGTGTAGTTAATTTTCTTGATCTTAATTAAAGAGTAAAATGTTAATTTCATTGCGTCCAATATGTGCAAATAAAGCTTTCACTTCCTCTTACAAGTGGGTATTACACACTGTACAGTAGTAGCTGACTTTCTCTACCAGGAGGCAAAAGCAAATATCATTTTTTCTACCTGCGGGTCATTCAAAGCTCCCGTCCCTTCGATCCCTTAAACAATTCAGCAACTTAATAAACAAAATTAGAACAAAGAAAAATTTACAATCCTCTATTTTCTCGTCAGCTATTGTGACCGTCGCCTAAACGAAATGACACGCGCGTCTACATCAAAACAAACTACTCTGGAAACTGAAGGTCCTACATTTCGCTGGTCACGAGGAAAGGATATACAAATAAGCTAAAGCGAGCCGAACAGCCCTACATACCGCCTTTGATGACTGGCTTGGAGGGTGGTTGAGTCTAGAAGATCATGCAGTTCCTTACTTCTGATCAGCGAAGGAAAAAATATTAATTACTATTACTGAAATATACGAGAGCATAAAAACAATCAAATGTTGACTGTCTACCAGTCTTTGGCAGCAAACGACGTGTTCTGCAGTTCTATAATATTAAATGAGGGGGAATACCTCTTTCTTACTCTTTTCCTGGCTCAAAGATCGGCTCCAAGAATAGCAACCTTGACAGACTTCTTTGTCATGTGAGAATCACAAGGGACACAGCCTAGTGACCTGGCCTGATTAATAGTCACGCAAACAAACTCATTTTGTCACGCTAGCCATTAATAAACTGCTAAATGTTGATAAGCGTCTGATTGCCATTTGACATGGGAAAATTAGTCAAAAGTTTAGTTAGATACTATTCAAAATGAGTTTAAAAACGCTGATATGGCTGTGCGAGACGAGACAAGCTATATATCTTCAAATTGACTTTTTCAAGTTCATTTGATTCTTCTAAGAATTAGCTAGTGTGATGTTATTAACTTCTTATTGACGTGGCTGAAGTAGCCTGTGAGGGCGAGGCAAGCGCGAGGCTAGGAGAGCGTGAAGCGAGCGCAAGGGTACGTCAATAATGACTATTATTATTAATTTCACTTTTGCTGAGTAAATCACTTCATTTTCAGGTTCTACACGTCATTTTTTAAAAATAACACAGGCGTTACTCAAGTTTCAACCAATGAGCTGGATGTCTTAAGGATAGCATCATGACAAGATAAATTAACCTTTTAACTCCCATGAGTGACTAAGAGAGAATTTCTCCTTACAATATCAATACAACATTAAGCAAAGACGTGATGAGAATAAAGTAAAATATCAATTAGAGGATTATTCATCGATCCAATACCAAATTCTCCAAATTGACATCATAAGAATTGAATGGTGGACAGTAAGGAGAATTATTAATGAGATCTTGGGAGTTGAAAGGTCAATAAAGAAGGAGGGAAGGTAGACGAGGAAAACCTCTTCCTCTACTTCATTGTCGAGCTCAGAATTTATAATAATGTATATGGTTTCCCAGAAGGCTGAGGCTAAATGCTGTAATCTCAGAAACGTCATTGTGTGTTCATGAGATATGAAGCATGATTTAATTTCAATATGCATCTATCATTGTTGTGGTTTTTTGTTCGTTGAAAATTTATGTAACTGTTCTTGTCTCTATAGCGCCTATTTTGGAAAAAAAGATGATTTATCAAGGTTAACTAAGCACTGAGTTCCTCATCATTTTGATATATGGGAAAACAACACTCAAACGAATGCGTAAAAAATGTTATGGTTTAAGAATAAGTTCAGACGTAAACTGTGGGTATATCGAAATATGAAACGCCAATTTCGTTTCAAGTTTCTCTCGGCTACATTTATAGCCAATTACTTCACTTAGTTTGACAATTCTCAGAAAGTAATTGTCGTTTGACAATTCTCAGAAAGTAATTGTCGTGACCCTCACATGATAAGTAGAATAGCTAGAAAATTGAAATTTCAATTTTGTTTCTTTTCGGAATTTCACATACTTAGTCGGTATCAACTGACATTTTTTCCTTCGTGATTTGGGTAAGCATTTGGCGTTGGATATTTTTTGACCCTCAATAAGACGTTCACATTGCACTGACAAGTGCTGGTGAGTTTATGGGGATATTTTTCAAATCGTGTGGGTTGGTTTTCCTGTTTGGGATAGTTTTATCCACTCATAATTTCGTGTTTGTTAAAGTACATTTTAAGTTTATTTATCAAACTCCCCTTCTGTAACATTTTACATGAAAAATGTCGAAGGGCAGGTACCCAGTAACATTTAGCCTCCGCCCTCTCCCCTTAGCATTTTATCGTTGAATTCGAAAAAAATTAATTATTTATTGCTTTTAGTTTTCACTAAGAAGTGCGCCGGTTAAGTCATGCCCGCTTTGAGGAATGGATTGCGTGACAAGAATTGAATATAGGTTGGTTCTCTTGTGACTCTCTTGTATGAGATAATTTTATCCATTTATAATTTCGTGTTTGTTAAAGTACATTTTTAATTTATTTATCAAACTACCCTTCTGTAACATTTTACATGAAAGATGTCCAAGGGCAGTTACCCGGTAACATTTCACCTCCGTCCTCCCCCCTTAGCATTTTATTGTTGAATTCGGAAAAAATTAATTCTTTATTGCCTTTAATTTTCACCAAGAAGTGCACCGGGTAAGTCATGGATTGCGTGACAAGAATTGAATATAATGTAATCAACAATCTCAAGATATTCCAATACAGGCGTGACACGCGTTTCAACCAATGAGCTGGATGTCCAAAGGATGGCATCATGTCAAGATAAATTAATAGGATAGGAGAGAACGCAGACCAAAACACCTCTTGTTGTACTTCATTGTCGAACTCAAAATTTACTATCTTTGTCAGAGTTAAATGTAGATGGTTTCTCAGAGGGCGGAGGCTAAATGCTGCAATCGTAGAAACGTCATCGCGCGTTCATCGGGATATGAAGCATGATTTAATTTCAATATGCATCTATCATTAGTTTTTTTTTTGTTTGTTGAAAATTTATGTAACTGTTCTAATCTTGTAAGCGCCTGTTTTGGCAGAAAAAAAGATGGTTTATCAAGGTTAACTTGGCACTGAGTTTCTTATAATTTTGATATATGGGAAAACAACACTCATTCGAATGCGTAAAAAATGTTATGGAACAATTGATTCATACTTAAACTGTGGGTATATCGAGATGAGAAACGTAAAATTAGTTTGAGTTGCTCTCGGCTACGCATACACCTCTAGGAATTTCATGCTTATAAAGTACTTTGCCTATGGTTCGCAATGCAGAATGTTTGAGATATCCCGGGATCGAGAAGTTACACTGATCACTAACACGTTTACACAGGACTGATTCAACACAATTCTCATTCTCTTGTTTTATTCTGCAGAATAATTCTGTTTAGGTAAATATAGAATGTCAGCCAAAGAGGATTCAATGTCCGAACGCTCTCTGTTAATCCTAAAAGAACAAGATCACGGGCACCGTTGGAATGATGTGGAGACAGGTGCCTTCTTCCTTCATAGCAGCTTGAGTCGTCGGCAAAGGGTTGTGAACGCAATATGTATTCTAGTAATGAAGTTGTGTGAGCGCTTGACCCTCTTTGGAGTTGTTGCAAATTTGTTGTTATTTTGTAGGAATGTGTTAAAACTTGACTCGCCATGGCCGTCGACAATCGCCCTCTCGTTACAAGGTTGGTTCACGCTATCATCATAAAATTATTTAGAAGTTAGAGCGCCTTTCAATTGAGTGTCTTAAAACCAAACCAAACGAACCGATAAGAAGAGAGGAAAATACCCCAAAGAGGCAATGAGTAAAAACATCCAAACTACCTATAGCGCAGGAAAACGTGGGCGACTAAGTCGTAATTGGTTTTAATTTTTCTTCGGATTGGTTCGGAAAGAGACGCGATTAGTTTTATGAACCAAGCACAGGGAATACCGAAGCAAAACCCAGAATACTTTTAACACTCAATTGAAAATTGCTGTAATGTCTCGGTTAAATCTGACTGTGCCAATGAAAGATTCAAATATTGCTATTGTTGTTGCTGTTTGATTTTTCCTGCGTTATACTGGTTTGAACCTAAGGGTAATGACAATTCATCGAGTAGTCTGATCTTCGATCAACACTTATTTAAGATGGTTAAACAGCGAACGAAAGGAGGAGAACGCTTATACTCCCTGATAGATCGATACTTACCAATCACGACCTATTTAGGCCACTCGAGTCTTCCAGCCGACAGGATCACGGTAGAACTGACCGATCAGTGAAAACGATCCAGGCTTAAAACAGTAAACTGTCTGACAACTCCTCACTGAACTCTGACGACAACTTCCCTAAAGGTTCTGGGAACGTCTGTCACCACTACCGACAACAGTCCTTCCTGGGACGATAAGGAAAATTTATGCTTTTTCGTCTCCCAAAATTGCTTGATGTCCCCTAACTTGTTTACCCCTTGGAGTATCCAACATCTTAGTTTTCCTTACATTAACACTAGCGAATTAAACATTGAGGTCTAAAGAATAAAGGTAAAGATCAATATTTTAATAAGCTCATGACTGTTCAGCAAGTTCTCCTAGTCACCTGAGGAAAGTACCAAAGGAAATGTATAGATAACAATTTAAAAACTTTCTATTCAAAAAGTTTTCGCGCCAACTAATTGACAATCAGAACTGTCTCTGTGTCGTATCATACAATTATCCTAGCCGTCAGGTGTGTTCATGTTGTCCTTTCTTCGTTTGATTTTCACGTACCTTGTTTGTTATCATTGTTCGTTAAAATTTGAAAATCTATCGGTGCGTTCGCTACAACAATTACTGCACCCGGCCCTTCCGGACTGAACCTTCTTTAACGAGCTATCACCGGGGAAGGGAGGGGGAAAGTTTTAAAGAACAAGATTTTGAAAAGATGCCTTAAGGCATAGTTTCGACTGTCATTTTATTATTTTCCTTTTCATAGGAATGTGCTATCTTACTCCTTTACTCGGAGAATGGCTCGCTGACACTTACTTCGGTCGGTTTAACACCATTTATGGAAGCTCTTTATTGTATTTTGTTGGAGTCGTGCTTCTGGCTGCAGCATCAATTCCTGACGATCTACTGGGGGTAGAGTTTGATGAAACAGCGAGAACGGTGTACTTTGTCGTGGCCCTTGGGATTATAGCATTTTGCACGGGAGGAATCAAAGCCAATGTGTTAGCCTTTGGAGCAGATCAGTTGAAACAGGATGGTCCAAGAACTGTCCAGACCTTTTATAGCTGGTTTTACTGGTTTATAAACATTGGAGCCTTAATAGCTTATACAGTAATAGTGTGGGTCCAGCAATCGGACGTTTTCTTTGGTTATGCCATCTTAATTGGTACAATATTCCTTGCTCTGGTTGCATTTTTTGCCCGTCGTAGCAAGTACGTGGTAAAGCCTCCACGTCGTAGCCAGCTGACGGAAACTGCAAAAATTCTATGGGAAGGTATAAAAAAACGAAGAAAGAACACAAGTCGCTGGATGGATGGAGCAAAGATAAGATTTGGCGGAAGTTTCAGTGATGCCCAGGTTGAAGACGTGAAGGCATTATTGAGAGTAGTACCAGTGTATTTTACATTCAGCGTCTACTTCGTAATTTTCTCTCAGGTGAGGTTTTTCTACCCTAACCCTCTATTCCCTAATGCATGCATTTACCATACTGTTCTCTATACATTTCCTAGGGCACTGACAAGGAGAATTTGCTAAACAATCAAAATCTTTGTTAGTTGGTGATCATTTCCTTGATTCTCTTGACCTTAATGAGTGATTCAGGGGTGACATTTTAAGGAGAAATAAGATGTTAACCACTCATAGGGGTCAAAGTGTTAACCATAACTATTTTGTATTTACTAATGTGGTCAGTCTACAGGTAGCTGGCAGTGTATACAACGATATCTTACATGCGCAGTTCATTTGAATTCAGCCATTCACTTAGTTTGGATCAGACTCAGCTTTCTTCATCCAGCTCTGATTCTAGAATGGGCAGAAGGACAGGGGGGCCGTCTGGAAGCATTCAGTTCATGGCTCTCTAAAGTTCATTGTTTCAAACATTGTTATAGTGTCCCCCCCCCCCCCCCCCCCCCCCGACTCTAAAATAGTGTCAGGTTTGACTCCAGGGTGAGAAGAGGCAATGCAAGAATATAGCATCCTTCTCAATACCTTTTTACTGGAAAATGTGCTGAGGTTTTAAGGAGATGTTTCGTCTTTGTCGCTGCCCATAGTAAAAGGGTTTTGTTTTTACCTACACCGTTCTTTCCTTCCAAATCGAAACATTGCATTTTCTTTTTCTTGCCTGGTATGCACGAATTCATTCGCATGATATCCTCTCTCTCTTTCTCTAGATGGGTACAACATTCCTTATCCAAGGTACCTTCATGAGGCTACAATTTGGAAGTTTTACCTTACCAGCAGCGTCTTTGGAGGTTTTTGACATAGTGATCGTTCTTGTACTAGCTCCCCTCATGGAACATGGTATCTATCCTCTTCTTGAGCGAGTTGGCATAAAGGTGACACCCCTGCGGCGCATAGGTGTGGGCTTCCTGTTATCAGCAGCGTCAATGCTTGTGGCTGGACTCGTTGAGACAAAACGACGGGAAGTATGGGAAGCTGGTGATGTTTGTAGACAGACCATTTTTGGGGAAGTTCACGATGCTTCATGTTTCAGTGTTTTCTGGCAGGCACCAGAGTTCTTGTTGATTGGAGTTAGTGAAGTGTTAGCGAACATCACAGGTTTGCAATTTTTTTTATCATTGTTATTGCTGAATAAATGTAGTCACCACAGTAGGTTGTAGAAACAGCTTACGCATTACGAAATTGACCCCATAAATGAATTTGTTTCATTTTTCATCTTACTCATTTAAATGGATCATTTATTTTCTACAATAATGAAGTATCATGATCATATAAGTTGATACAGCGTTCGTCTACAAAAGAATCCTTCAGAATTAAAACAATCTAACCCCTTTGACTCCTTAGAGTGACTAGCATCTAATTTCTCCTGCCAAATCAACCCTAAATCAATCATCAAGGTCATGAGAATAAAGGAAATGATCACCAACAGGAGAGTATGAACTGAACTCAGTTTTTTTTTTCTCTTGTCACCGACTAAAGGAACTCTTGATTGTTAAACAATTTCTCTTTTCCAGCAACTTAGGACATTTATGGAGAGTACTATCGAAGATATGTTTGCTGATGTAAGAGCGAAAGGACTAAGCATTTTTGCTTCTCATGTCTACCCCATCTCATAGATTATGCAACTCCCTTTTCAATATCAAAGTGTAACTGCAAATGAAATGTAATTACAACCGCTTGGCCAAGGAAGGTCTGTGTACGAGACTAGTCCGCTTGGCCGTAGAAGGTCTGGGTACAAGACTAGTTTGGACCCATTTGATTCTCCCTCTGGCTCCACCACTGCTCAATATTTGTGGAAATGCAAAGTTCACCTTGAAATTTTTTTACTTGTTTTGCAGGACTTGAGTTTGCATACTCACAGGCTCCTGAGTACCTCAAGGGAGTTTTCATGGCCCTTTACATGGCTGCTTGGGGACTCGGAAGTTTCCTTGCAAACCTTCTTGTTGCTATCGTTACATCGGGAGGTAATAGTGATTGGTATCCTGAGAAAGATCCTAACAGAGGTCATTTTGAGTACTTCTTCTTTCTGGTAACTGTTCTGATGATGCTGGATTTTTTGTTTTTCCTGTTTATTGCATCTTCATACGAATACAAAGGATCGCCTCAACAAAGTGAGGAGACAGAAAAAGGCCAAGAATACAACGAATTAACTGTATCATCCGTGCGTGTGTAAGTGATGTGTCAGCATTTTCCCGTCATGCCGATTAAATTTGTTGTTGCTATGTCAGTAGCAATGACGTTTTTGGCGAATTGGGCTGAACTTTGAAAGTAGCGCAAATGCGGTTAAAGCATCTTTTTTAACATAATACTTCGGAAGTCAATAATTCAATTTAGTTTTTGGACATTGGCAGTTTTCGAAACCCCAGCTATATAAATAGTAAGAAGTAAATAATCTTAATAAGCAACAAAAAGGAATGAGCGTGAAATGAATACTGAGTTGGTGAGATTTTCTTCTGCTGCTACCTTCGAGGTAGTTTTTGAGGTCTTTAGCTTTCGATCCCTGAAAAGTGACTAGCATGTGAATTCTCTTTACAATATCAGCCCCAAATCACACATTAAGGTCACGAAAGTAAAGGAAAATGATCACCAACTGAAGAAGCTCTTGATTGTTAAACAAATTCTCCTTGTCGGCACCTCAGGATATGCATAGAGGACAGTATGGAGAATATGCATACTGATGTAACGAGTTGAGGTAATTCTAAAGGCGAGTATTTAAGGGGAGCTTCATAAACTCCTGTAATCTAGTTTCTTTACAGTAACCAAGTTTTCGTTCGGCGAATACGACTGAAATCTAGTCATGATTCTGTCAACTGCTCCTTCAACGATGGTCTCTACATAGAATAAAGCAGAGCTCCATGATTGAGATTTAGTTTTACATCATTATTTGCTTTCTAATTGCATTGTTGTATTACAAACGCCCGGTGAAAAATCTCACAGGTCGACAAACAATCTGGCTCTGGATGGTCAAATGATGAGTTGTCAAGACCTTCTGGATGTAATTGTGAACATGAGCTCAGTTAAACTAACTATCGAATACTGCTCAATATTCAGCAGCTTTATGTCTTTGTGACTGATCGCCTCATTTTGGTTTTTGTGGCCACATGTGGCAGCCATGATCAGCCACAGATGCCGGTGGTCTTTGACGCGCTCGTAGAAATTGGAGACCACCAAGCGGCAAAAGCGCACACAATATCTGCTATTAGATGCGAACAGTTGAGGCAGGCAATCATACTAAGCCTACTCAGCTAAATCCACTATGCACAGAATTAATCACAATAATCACAGCAACAACCGCTTACCCTGAAAAACATAAACTGGGAAATTTCCAAAATGGAGGAATTTTTTTTTATTTTAGACATTGTCTCTACCGGAGATTTTTGTCGTATTGGTTGTTTCGGAAATTGAAACGGTTATGATTAATTGGTAACAGGGCTTCTGTCGGTACTCATTCTCATGATTTAAAAATCGGTGAGCCAAGTAGCCCATCCAGCTGGAGCCCATTCCGCTTTCCCTGCCATGAAGGGATTAGTAATGCGTTTACTAACCCTTGCAAAGCAAGTCCATTGCTGGTTACCCCTAATTATGATACATTGCATATTTTTGCTCGCGCGTAATTGGTCTAAGCGCATTACGTGACTTAATTTAATTCAATATGACAGAAAATTTGATGGTTCTCGTCAAGAAGGGAAATATTTGTTTGTTCATATAGTTGTGCCAGAGAACACTGAAAAGAAAACACGCCTTGCAGCAAACACTACGAAAACATTTTTTTTCTTCACACACGTTGCAAAATATTTGAAGGATAGAAAACACAATAAACTCTGTTTTCCCCGAAAGCATGCTATATTTGTCCTTGAGCATTATCTAGGTATGTTCCTCAAAGCTTACAGTCTTTCTCAAACCTCGCTCTCGGAAAACCGTTCCGATTACAGGTGTAGGATTACAGCCAACTGTACGATTACACTGTCCGATTACAACTGAGCAGAATGATTAGTGAAAAATAAAGCAGCTAATGCACCAATCACATTTTAGGAAACTATAATAGTTATGATTATAGTAGGAAGGCTTAATTGTGGGAAATAGTAGTAAAGTTCAAAATGACTAAAACGAAACACGCATGATTCCCTGTAACTCTAAGTTTCGTGCTTACGCACTCGTCAGACAGACTTAATGAAAAACATACTTGTAGGCTAATTTATATATATAAAAAAAGGTAGCAGTAGTAGGAAGGCTTATATTACTTCGCTCAGAGGTCTAGCCTTTACGAGAAAAGGGCAAAACTTCTTAAGCTTTTACTACCCACGCTCATCATTGCTGATCTTGATATGGCTTTGGCGGAGACAAAGAAGAAGTCAGTGCTTCCACCATGAAATTACCATTGCACCCTTTAACTCCCAGAAGTGATTAACACATAACTTCTCCCAATAACATCCATACATTATTCCGCAAAAAGGTAATGAGAATACTCAGACTTATCAGGTTAAAGTTTTCATCTTGATCTAACACCAAATTCTCATAACTAATTTACAAGGAAATGCGTAGCAGCTAGAGGGGAGAATTAACAATCAGATCGTGGGAGTTAAAGGGTTAAATGTATAAAATAGGCCAGTTTTAATCACAAACCATGCTCAAATATGGAGTTTGAATAAAATTTTGACAGTTTGACCGTCTTGGTAAAGATCTGTATAAGTTGGAAACTGAACACGTTCTGCCTCATGGAAACAAGTTCAAAAATTCGCAGGCGAATTGGCAACGCCGAGGCGAAGTTTTTGTTTTTAATAGGGCGAACTCGTAGACATAGAGGCATAATTGTAATGGGTCGAAATCTTGACATACTGATATATAAGTTTCCAGAAGCAAGGCAAAAAAGAAAACTGTATGGGTGGACGTCTAGATGAATAGATGAAAAACCTCACACATCTGCGGTAATTTTGTTAAATACTTCCCTGAAAAGAAAAAGGATTTTTCTAACCTAGTTTCGTACGGGAATGAATATGAAAGCGACCTTCGCAGTAATGACCACTACTTAAGCAGTAGTGAAAGTAAGGCCTGAAAAAAATTCAGGCCAGTACGGGATTTGAACCCATTACCTATGCGATACCAGTGCATAATCAACTGAATTCACAAGCCATTATTGTCGCCGTCATTATGTTGGTTCGTCGTAAACCCGTGAGGTGATGAACCGATGACTGCGGATGTATGAAAATCATATATCATGGAACTGCGGTTTATGGAATGGATATGAAAGCTATTTTCGCAGTAATGAACACTACCAAGGCAGTAGTGAAATAATATATGTATGGGTTTTATGTTACAAAACTGAAATACTAACAATGGTCGACAAACATGTGGATGTACTTATCTTAGATGCATACTTCTTGTTTCAGGTGCTAAAACTGAAGTACTTTATCTAACTATTGATTTTTTTATGAAGTAGCTCATCAAGTAATGGGCTCCTGTTATCCTAATTCATATTAATCTTTTGACTAAACCCTTACCGCAAATTGTACCTTCAGCCAAATTAATTACTTTCAAACACATAATGAGTAATTAGCCTTTATCACTGAAAAAAAGCAATACGAGTCCGCTCGGTCTGCGTAGACTTTTTGCGATAGATGAAATAAATTCACACTATCACTTTTCTATTTAAACCTTCTTACATTTAGGGGTGCAGATCATGCAGAATCTGCGGCCACGTGGAGATGAGGAATTACCTTTGACTGTATTACCAGTGAATTTATCGCGCAATAGCAGTCCTGTTGATTGGTTATCAGACAGATGCGTCTCTTGAAATCTTCATCAAGTGACAAAAATCCACTTACAGTTCTTTAGAAAGACTTTTAGCGCTATTACCTATTCTTTTTCTCACCCCTCGCATGGGAAGCTTCGCTTCCCGTTGGCGCTTTATTCGGAAAGGTTCGTTCGGTGAACAATGCAGAAATACAGACAAAACTAACTACTCTGCCCCTTAGCTTAGCTGAGGCATGCAGACATAAAGCGATCAGCATCGCATAGATTGAGTGCTAACAGTTAGTTCATGCTCAAGCTGTTCTTTCTCACTCTCGTCACCTAGCTGAGCCGATACTTTGTACTTGTATGAAGACGCAATGTATAGGAATAACAGAAAATTTAGCATCATCAAACCAGACAACAGGAAGAAGAAGTACTCCATGTGGCCTTGGTTAGGATCCTTCTCAGGGTACCAATCGCTGTTGACAACAGCAACTAGAAGATTTGCAAGGTAACCACCAACACCGGTGGCTGCGAGGAACACACCCATGATCACTCCCTTAAGGTACTCGGGAGCCTGTGAGTATGCAAACTCAAGTCCTTCAAAAAAAAATATATAAACAAGTTTGAAGGTTAACTGCGCATTTCAAAAGATTATAATTTATACCACATGGAGGAGATTGCAAAGTCTGTAGATAATACAAATAATAACATTTATGATGGCGGACATAAATACGTTTTAGGACCGACTCAGACTTATTTTAGCCCGAGTTGCTCGGAAAGGGTTAATTCGTGCTTTAGGAACGGCCCCTGGACATAACAATGCCCACTTTGGAGGGAATTAAAAACATAAGAACCAAACATATGATAACAAAAAAATCTGAAAAATCATGCGAGCATCTCTGGCTTTGTTAATACACCATCGAGCGAAGCTGGTGAGAAATATCAAAATCTCGCCATTTGAGTTTCAAAACATACGATAGGAAAATTCCATAAATGTCGGTGTCGAAATTAACTGCACAAGTATCGTTAAACTGACAGTTTGGCACAATTGGTTCAACTAAGCGTGTTTGGCTTGAAGCCGCCAAACCTACGCGCACTTCGCCGACGATCACAGAACTTCTACAAGCGGCGTAATTTACAGAAGCTTCTCTTGAAAGAAACGGACGACTTTGAATGTTCGAACAAGCACATTTCACTGCAGCTGAGCACTTCTTTCCATAGGATGTCAATCTTTGTTCGTTTTCATGCTTTCATGCGCAAATTTGCTTTTATTTCTTTCACCAAGGCTGCAGGAAAACGGCGCTAACGTAGCAATGGCTTCTCGATGTTAATTGACTGTACGATTGTTTGATTCTCACTTTTCATGGGTTTATCTCAGCGCGCTAAGAGCCTAATTCACCAAATTAGCCCCCAAAATGCGCCACAATGCCCGACAATGTGATAATAATTGGAGACTGACTTAGTGAACACTGACGTATCATGGAGAGTTAGTTCCTTCACTTTAAGAACGAAGTTATTTCTTTGTTTCCCCTCCTTTTAATAATTTTGGTGCTTTAATTCGTCTTTGATTACACACATTGTATATCACATTTCATTAACTTATATTTTTTGGTATATTACAAAAACATCCCTGCAAAACGCAACTCTCCTGCCCCTCCAATGCGAATTCTATTGATCTTTTTCAGAAGAAGGCTGCTTGAAAAGCCGAAATATTGTACTGAGTTAAAAAAGCATTCTGCTTTACTTAGGTCTCTTCTTTAAGATTTTTGTTCCCTTTACTTCACCCATTAAGTCGCCGCCTTAATTATACATAAACCAGCAGGATTATCTCCCCACTTAATCATGTCTTTCATACTTCAATCAAATTTTCGTGAAAATCTCTAGATTTGTTCAACATCACAACAAGGCACTGATATCATCAAAAATCTCATACCCGCAATAGTTGCAAGCACTTCACCAATTCCAATCAACATGAACTGAGGTGTTTGCCAGAAAATGCTGAGACAAGAAGCGTTGTGAATTTCCCCTAAAACCTCCTGTGTGCAGATATGACCATCTAGCCATACTTCTCGTCGCTTCATTTCAACCAGACCAGCAACAACCATAGATGCTGCTGATGACAGAAAGCCGGCACCAATGCGCCGCAAGGGAGTCAGCTTAATGCCCGTGCGTTCCATGAGAGGATAGACAACGTATTCTAGAAGAGGAGTTAGTCCAAGAACGAAGACAACAGTAACAGCCATTGACGACGTCGCTGGTATGGTCAAATTTTGCAATTTTAGGTTCATGTAAGCACCTTGAATAAGGAACGAAGTGCTGATCTGAAAAAGGAGAGAAAAGACCAGGATGGAATTAAAATCGTTAGTGTATAAAGCGGAAAAGTAAATGAGAACAACTCCTTTTATTTAATTTACAACTGTAGAGTGATTTCTTTAACATTGTCTTTCTCCATGGTGTGAATAAATTTGATTTACACAATAACACCTGCAGAGTATGATCTACAACATCATGATCACGTGCTGCGATAGGGGATCGATCTTTTTCTTGACAATACACAAGTAAAATTGGATGATATGCAAAATAACTGTACCAGTCACTATTTATCGTCTGTGATCGGGTGTCGGAGGTCGGAGGGTCGGAGGGTCGAGGGTCGGGGGTTGCATCACGATAAAATGCATCTGATCCTCCCAAAAGGCTCTATAATATTCTTATGGTCCACACCTCCTTAACTGGCAAGTAATTGGGAGTCAATACTCTGTACTGATTCTCCCCTTCAATACCCTATTGGCAACGGCCTATTCCCCCGTTCCCCCTGTAAACCACGCTCTGATAGCTTCCTGCATACTTTATAACAAAACCGAGTACAGTCAAGGCTTCTCTACTCGTTGATTCGACGTCATTTCCTCTTCTTGTTACACAATTAAATAGGCTTCCCGGTTCTTTTTCGAATACAATAATACCCTAAAAAACGATCAAATCAAATGGTACGAAAAAACTTCAAAATGTTGAGTGTGGCAACTCTTATTACCTATAATGAATTTTTACCTAACTCACTTATTCTTGGATAGTATTGGCTAATACTGTTTTTATGATCCTTACCTGGAAGTAAATTGTAAAGAAAAAGATGAATGTGATGAACACTGGAAGTACTCTCAAGACTGCCTTGACATCTTCAACCTTTGCATGATTAAACTTTCCTCCAAATCTGCTCTTTGCTCCATCCATCCAGCCACCAGTGTTCTGTTTCCGATTTTTAATGGCATTGAGGGTTATTTTGGAAATTTCAGTCAGTTGACTACCCACCGGTGGCTTGACCAAGTACTTATTACGACAGGCAAGAAATGCAACCAGACTAAAGATAATTGAACCAGCATTTATAACATAACCAGAGAAAATGTTTGATTGCTGGATTCCCACTACAACTGTAACTGCTACTAAGCCTCCCGTGTTAATAAACCAGTAATACCAGCTATAGAAGGTCTGAACAGCCCTTGGACCATCCTGTTTCACCTGATCTGCTCCAAAGGGTGCTACGTTGGCCTTGATTCCTCCCGCGCAAAATGCTATCAACACAAGGGCAATAGTAAAATACACCAGTCTCGCTAATGTATCAAATTCTGAGGTCAGCATATCATCAGTAATTGATACCGTGGCAAGAAGCATGACCCCAACCAAATACCACAAACAGCATCCGTAAATAGTGTTGAAACGACCCAAGTAAGCATCCGCCAGCCAACCTCCAAGCAAAGGTGTAACGTAACATGTCCCTATAAAAATAAAACCGATTAAAAAAATTATATTGTTGTTCAGCCTTCCCATACAGACAGTTCTACTTCTTCTTAAGCAAATCCAGACAAAATACAAGAATACAATTAACGCTCTGAAATCGAATTTTGAATTTCAATGCCTCTTTCTTGCATTCCCCTGTGTGCGTGTATGTGTGCGTTTTAGATATTTTCCGTCTGCGAACTTTTTTTTTTAATTGCCTTGCTTTTATGTTTTACCACGATCCTTCCTGCCGAGAACCATTTTTAAAGCTTATACCACTTTGTTCAAGATTGGTCCGAACAGAATTGTGAATAACTTGATTGGATTACCCGGTAGCCGACGTAGCTTGGTGGTTTTGTGTGCATTTTTAGGCGATGATACGCTAGGTCGGTCTCGAGTTTTTTTCTTTAGACGTATTCTGTCTAAATCAATCTTCGTTTCCACGCTTGACTCTCCAACGCGCATACAAAACTTTCCGGTACAGCTAGGCAGAGCTTCTGGCCCCAGTATTCTGTGCCTATGACAACCTCATGACAACACTACAAACTAACCTTGGAAGAAAAAAGTGATTGTTGATGGCCAAGGTGACTCAAGCTTTAAGACATTCTTAGAAAATAATACTAGATTCGCAGATGCTCCATAGAAGGTCAGGCGCTCACATGACTCTGTTACAAGAATGCACAATGCATTTAGGATTCTTTGCTGACGACTCAAAGCTCCATCGGACCGAGACACCAGGCAATTGGTATTTGTCTTTCCACGAGTTGAATGGCTCTTGCCGTATTGATCTTTTGAAATTAATGGTGCACGTTCACCTCCATCTTCAGTTGCTGACATTCTGCAGAAGTCCAAGAACTTCTAGACAAAATAAAGTAAGATAGTGGGAATAAATTTGTGTCCTGTGGAAATATCTTTTAGCAGGGGGCCACGTCTTGTACCCTCCGTGTTGTCTCGAGTGATTTTGCGCGGTTTTGTGACGGTTAGTTTCCCACTCTGCACTGACTCAAACTGACGCCCCTCCAAAGGCAAAGGAAAAACACTTGTGTTTATCTGACTGTCATTAAGCGGATTTTGGGATGAAATGTTACGATCTGCGGAATTTACGAAACATTTCTCGGGATCACTTGCGTCTTACCGAGATCGACCGTTGCAAATTACAAACAATGTAAGAGTTAAAATAGCGTATCAAATAGCTGAGTCACACGGCTTCAAACCCATAGTGTTGTCTGCATGTGGCACTCGGCATTGACCTCGATACGCTACATTATACCCAAAATTACGCTGACATTATTCATCTGACTTTACCCTAAGTTACTTCAAACCTTTTCAAGCCGCGGGTTGATTTACAAGTAAGCACTTATAAAACTCAGAAAAGTGAGTTTTACGAGGCCTGCTGGGCCAATTTTGGCCAATTCATCTCTAACTAAAATTTAGGGCTATGCAAAGCGAGGGGACGTCAAATTTTTCCGCTTCATCGGTTATGAATAATTAATAATGTTCACGCATTCTGCATTATGAAGATGGTCAAATACCATACGAGGACTGTTTCAGTAGGGCTTCACACCCTTGCTTGAATCACTCACCTTAACACACGGTCCACTGGAAAAACATCGATTGTATTTTAAAAATTTAGCCGAGTTATTTTACAATTTCTTAGAGCATAAATAATCACATATCATGTGAAATTCATAATGGTTGAGACCGGAAACGTGACGTCATTGACATACTCAAACGTGGTCCTATAAATTTTCACCTGGCAACGTTATCGCTGAATACTCATACATATAACCGCTAAAAATATATAATTTTTTAGCAAAGATGGAAAGCTGTAATTAACTTTCGTTAATTTTTGTTCCGCTCGCCTTCATTTATAACCGGTCTCTTTCCGTGATGGAAAGCGGAAATTGTCACGAGATCTTTTTCTTGAAAACTTAATCATCCCTTTCTTCAGAGAGGAATTTAACATCGAATAAGTGATTTATTATTCCACTATCACTTCATTTTCTAGTATTTTGGCTTCCAGTTTTCGAAACACTTCTTGCAGTTTTATCGGAGCATCGCATCATAAGACGTGCGAAGCAAAGGATGAAAACAACACATACAGAACCATTTTAAGATTTTTTTCTGTAGTTATAAAGAGCACCTCTAAAAGTATTCTCTACAACCAGCGGGAAAAAATGCGCTTAAAAATTCGTTGATCGAGAAGTCAAGCCTTCAAAAAAAAGTATCAAAGTTTGGATCAGTCAGTAAGGCACACGGTAATACCGTGACACGTTGGCAAAATTCGTGTTCCATTTCCCTAATACGGTAAATTGGCGCAAAGGTGGAATAACAAAACATGAGGATCCCGTGACAAGAGGGGTTGGTTTCCTTAATACAGTGTACTCACCGATCGAGTGGGCTGATTCTCAGCCAGTCCAAAGTCAAAGCTTTCTTCACTTTCCTAGAAACATGATAAATGTAACATACCGAATCATGTGTCAAGACGACCTTGTCAAATTATTTATAGAACAATGTTAATGATCCTGAGTCTCACATGATATGTAACCTCTGCCTCTGGATTTTTCTGTTTTAATTTTGATGTTTTCTTGATATTACTCATTTGTTGTTGGGCAAAGATTGTTCGGTTTGCTTTGTGTTCAGCATCTAACCCAGTTTGGCTTGCCAGCGATCTTCTGCAGAACGTTCTCAGGTGTAATTGTGCCCTATATTTCCCGGTAAGTATAAAAGTTCGTAAGGAGAGCAATGTACTTTATTTCTAGGTTTGCTTTCCTTTATTAATCGTTAAAATCATGTCGTGTTCAGCGATTTCCGACCACGCGCTCTTTGTTCAAATTTTAACAACCAGAAATGTTTGCGCTCAAAATACTATATTGGTTCCGTCTCCACTGCCCTCTCAAAATACTGAACATTCTTGTTCATTCTTAGTAAGATGGATTTTCAACCGTGTTCAGTTGCACTTTCTAATTCGAATCGACTCTATGTTTGAATTTTCAGTTGTACCTAACATTTCGAGTTTAGTTTGACTTTGAGTTTGATCCCTTAGTGCTTAGCTTTTTTAGTTGGTTTCCTTGAGCTTCATTAGGCACATATATTACAATAAGGTCATGAAGCATTTTGATGTAAGCCTTGTTTATTATTATTTTTTTTTTTGTTTTCTGTTTTTTTTGTTTGGAAAGAAAGAAAAAAACGGCCCCTGTTTATTGTGATTACCAAACAGATCGAACTGGTAACGCAGTATAATTTGGTTTTTATTAACTGAGTTGAATATTTAAATTTGCCACCGGAGAGAGTTTCGAAAACTGACGTTTCGAGCGTTAGCCCTTGTCAGATCGAATGGTAACGCAGTAGTTTCGGTTTCTTAGGATATCACGCAACGCTCCCCAGGGCGCTGCGTGACACGCCGCGGCTGTCTAACATAGATCCTTCTGCTTACTGTTACAGAAGCAATTTTTTCCGAGTCAAATGTTTCTTAAGAGGGAATTGATGAAATTCCATGTGATGCCACCGGTCCAATTTTTTTTTCCATCAATACCCAGTTTTCGACTTACTTTTGGGAAAAAGGATCCAAACATGCTACTTGTTGTCGTCCCAGTTTCGGCAGTTTGAGCCTCTGCAGGTACAGATCGCGGCTGAAAATGTGCTTTCATAAACGACGAACATTGAAAATGTCTCATAAAATAGGTACAGAGAATATACGAAAGTAAATAAATGAAAATCATATATGTGCACTGCAGTTGAAGAAACGTGCACATATATTATCTTCATATATTTACGGACCAACATAATGACTAGCTCCTAGTTGGCTTGTTAATTTAGCTGATATGGCGCTGTACCGGTATCGCAGAGGTCATGGGTTCAAATCCCGTAAGGACCTGAAATTTTTTTCAGCCCATACTTTCACTACTTCACATTAAGTAGTGTTCACAACTGCGTGGATCGCTTCTATAATCGTTTCTTAAACCGCAGTGCACATATATGATTTTCATATATTTATAGTCATGTATTCACCACTTGGAGGGTTTATTTGGAACCAACATAATGATCAGCTCCCAGTTGGCCTTTTAGCTCAATTGGTTTAGCGCTGCGTTATCGCTGAGGTAGTGGGTTCAAATCCCGTAAGGGCCTGGATTTATTTCAAGCCTTATATTCACTACTACTTAACAGGTAGTGCTCATAACTGTTCTATATTAGGTATAGAGAAATCTTCTCACATAATTCTGATGGCTTGCACGCGAATTATGAAGGCTGAGAATTTCAAGGTCAAAGTGATTAGGGTCTCTTAAAGTTACATCCCTTCAGGAATGATAGGCCTCTGTGGCTGTCTCTTTATATAGTTGTCAAAAGCGTGTGCTCTCTAGCATTTTCGTGCTCCTGTTTACTGCCGTTTACAACATCACCAACTAAGAAGAAGGGTGTTGTTCTTAGCTTCAGGGAGCTGTTCTTCTTGCATGAAAAACCTAGTGCAGTCACAAGCAGCCCAAGCTCCAGCTGTGAGGTGAACATCTTGCGCAATGAGAGTCATGGCGAACATATGAGAGTTTGAATGGGAATACCGCTTTTGGATGGGAAGACAACTTTTAGGAATAACAAAATATGACAAACTCTCAATAAAAATACCTCACCTTACTTTCACAGTGCATTGCTTGTTTTGTGACCGCTTGCTTTCTAGCAACGAGGCCATTTTAGCGAATATTCCATTTCTAGGTTTACTAGTAGTAAATCTAGAAATGGATATATTTTCGCTATGACTCTTACTACGCAAAATGTTCATCTCACAACCTCCTGTTGTGCACTGATAAGATCAGAGAATTTATATGAAGGCAATTAAGACTGGTACCAAATATAGCCTGGTCTTTTAACCCCTCCAGACCTAAGGGGGGAAGGAGGGGGGGGGGGGGGAGAGAGAGTACCAGCATTTAATTTCTCCTTGCTATTTCACTTACCGAATCAAACATTAAGGTCGTGAGAGTGTAGGAAAGGTCATCAACTAGAAAAGCTGATGATTGTTAAACAAATTCCCCTTAATTGTCAGCACCATAAGAAATGTTTGGAGAACAGTATGGGGAGTCTGCATACTGATGATAATATAGCTCCAGGCGTCGAAACAACGTCGGAATGTCCCAAAGATACACAGGATTTAATGCGAGGACATCGAGCGAAATACTGATTCGAGACACCAAAGACCAACTATAATTCCAAACGTAGTTTATTCGTACTAATTGTGACTTGATGTCCAAAACCGTCAAACTAAAATACAATTAAAAAACCTAGTCTAAGCGATACTAAAGGACTGAAACTAAAATAACTATTTTATGACACGAATACATATCGATTACACGAGCGCAAACACAGCTAACAATGCAACATTCGGTAACAGGAAAAGAAAACAAGGAAATCAATACAATAATACGGTCGCTTACCGATTGTCCTCTCTGTAACGCCTGAATGAGTCGCAATGAACGCAGAAACACTCGCAATAAGCTCTCTTGTTAAACTATCTACCGCAAACGACAACGCACGAGGTCTGACATATGATATCGAAGCGTCACTAATACAAAAACAAAGACTAATACGTAACAGAAATAATACTTAACTCGACAACAATTACAGATAAGGTTTAAATGATTAAGGCTCCTAGGCACCAGAATGAAGGTGGGGGGTAACATATGAAAGTAGGACTCCACTCTATTCTCACAGCTTGTTTTTAATTTGCTTAGAAATCCTGCAGCATGTCAGCAGCTCCAAATGGAAATGAAAATTCTCCGTTAATTCCAAAGGAACCAGATGAACCACATTCCACACCTGGTAGGGTGACAAGTACGGCTACCAATTCATCTGACTCCAATAGTGCCTTGAGTCAACGACAGAGGGTCCAAAATGCAGTGTGTATTCTTGTCACAGAATTATGTGAGCGCATGACCTTCTATGGAGCATCTGCAAATCTAGTTTTATTTTCCAAGAATGTGTTAAAGCTACAGTCACCTTGGCCATCAACAATCACTCTTTTGTTCACAGGTTTGTTTGTAGAGTTGTCCTAACATTCTTATGTGTTAATTCTCCTCTCTGGCTGCAACAAGTTTCCTTGTAAATCAGTTATAGGAATTTGGTGTTGGATCAAGATAACAACTTCTACCTGATGAGTTTGGGTAAACTCATTACCTCTGTGCTGGATAATGTCAGGATATTATAAGGAGAAGTTTCATGTTAATTAATTGTTGGATCATGCTTCTAAAAGAATGAAGCTACATTGTACATTTAAGTATTGATTACAACTGTTTCAAGAAAGGCTATTGAAAAAAACTGTAAAAGTACGTGCAACAACCTTGAATGCTAATGTAGGTAGTTTTCAGGTGCTTGACCTTGCAGGATTTCAGGAAAATCTGAGAACACATGACACTTTTAGGATGAGGCATAGCAGGGTTGATTAATTTATACATTCATTTGACATATTAAAATTTATTGATTATGGGATGCCCACATTACCTTTCAAGATGGTCACAAGCACTTTTGACCTCTTTTTTGGACAACCTAAATCTTGAAATAGCTGTATACACTTGTTGAGACAAATTGTAGAAATGTTTCAAAATATATGGAAAATACTTTTTTGTTCCCCTATATTGTTCCTGGGCTCTCGTTAAGACAATATCAACTATTGTATTGCCTCTCGTTGCATCATGCATGTAAGATGTTTTAAGGAAAATAATAGTCTCGATACTTTAACTCTGAAGATCTGATTGTTCATTGTCCCCTATAGCTGATAAACAGTTTCTTGTAAATTAAATACAAAATTTGATGTAACATCAAGATAACAACTTTTACCTGATGAGTATGAGTATTCTCGTCACCTGTTTACTGGATAATGTATGCATATTATGGGGAGAAGTTACATGTTAATCTCTTTTGGGAGTTAAAGGCGAGTAGCCCCTACATTCCAATGCTTGTGCCAGGTACACAATTCAGAACATTCACCTGCTAAATGCCATTTGAAATACAAGTAAGCTAAACTAAAAGTTTTAACCATCAAACAACACCACTACTTTTACTCCAGGGCTCAAGCCAACAACAGAAATGAATAATTGCAAAAGTTACGACATGTAGCACAGTGTTAACCTTTAAACTCTTGAGAATGATAAGCATCTAATTTCTTCCATCAGTATCACCCTTGAGTCAAGTGTTAAGGTAATGAGAATAAAGGAAATGATCACAAGGTGAAGAAACTTGATTATGAAACATATTCTCCATGCACGTACCATATGAAATGTATAGAAAACAGCATGGCTCAGCTTGCAAACTGATGTAAAGGTAGTGTAAAGGTTTGAAAAACTGGATTGTCCATGAGCTGAGCTGTTCAACTGTATTAAAATTTAATTTCTTTTTTCCTTTTTTTTTTTTCCCATAGGAACATGTTTTCTCAGCCCTTTACTTGGTGGGTGGTTAGCCGATTCTTACCTTGGTCAGTATAACACCATATATGGAAGCTCTTTGCTCTATTTTGTGGGAGTTGTGCTTCTAGCCACAGTATCAACTTCTGATAATTTGTTGAAAAGCATATTTAATGCATCGGGAAGAGTGGTGTTCTTTATCCTGGCCCTTGTGTTGATAGCATTTAGTGCAGGAGGAATCAAAGCCAATGTGTCACCCTTTGGAGCAGATCAGTTGAAACAGGATGGTCCAAGAGCTCTTCAGACCTTTTTCAACTACTTTTACTGGTTCATTAACATTGGAGCCTTCCTAGCTTTTACTGTGGTGGTTGCAGTCCAGCAAAAAGACATTTTCTCTGGTTATGCCATTGTAGTGGGTTCTATGTTGCTTGGAATCATTGTATTTCTCACCTGTCGCAATAGGTACTTGGTCAAGCCACCAGGTGGTAGCCAACTAACTGAAACTGCAAAAATAATTCACAATGCCATAAAAAATCGGAAACAAAACACTGGTGGCTGGATGGATGGAGCAAAGAGCAGATTTGGAGGAAAGTTTGGTGATGATCAGGTTGAAGATGTCAAGGCTGTGTTAAGACTACTTCCTGTGTTCATCACTTTCATCTTCTATTTTTCAGTTTACTCCCAGGTAAGCTTTGTCACCATGAAATCATAACAGTTATAAATGAAGGAATGTTTTTGTTTGTAATGAATTGAGAAAAAATTAAGGAAAAATGGCAATTCCATGCTATTTGTTGATGTTGCGATTGTTTTTTCATTACAAGTCATTGGATTTAACACAATTTAATTTTCTGTAACAACAATAAAATGTCTTAACTGACCTTACAATCTACTAAACTGAGCATCCTATATGGTACTTCAAAAATTCTGATTCACTTTCTGCAGCTTCACTAGTGTTTAGAAGAAGAGAAGAGGATCACAACCAAGATGTGAATTGTTAGAGGAAATTGAAACTTAAGGCAATATTAGCTTGAAACTTTTTCTTTTCTTTTCTTTCAGATGTCCACGTCATTTCTCATTCAAGGTACATACATGAAGCTAAATTTTGATGGCTTTTCTGTGCCAGCAGCATCTTTGTCATTGTTTGATATAGTTATCATTCTGGTGCTTGTTCCCCTCATGGACCATGCAATTTATCCTCTTATTGAGCGCAGCGGGATCAAGTTGACATCCTTGCGGCGCATTGGTGTAGGGTTCGTTTTATCAGCAGCTTCTATGCTTGTAGCTGGGCTGATTGAAATAAAACGAAGGACAGTGTGGCAACATGGGGACATTTGCATACAGATGGTTTTTAATGAGAGTCACAGTGCCTCATGTTTCAGTATTTTCTGGCAAGCACCACAGTTCTTATTGGTTGGATCTAGTGAGGTGTTTGCAACCATTACTGGTAAGTGAATTTCACTGATGAAAGCAATTGTCAAGTGGATGTTGAAAGTAATCTGGGATGGCTTCAGTTTTACTTAACTTTGCTCTGTCTGATTGGTCCAGGCATCTTGCGTCATCCTCTCAACAATCAGATGCAAAACTATAAAAACAATCACGACTTAACCATTCACATTTTTTCCATGCTTCAAGCAGTTTGCTTGTTGTCACTTTGAGTTCTTATTGGCAAATGATAATTAGACCTTTGTTCTGATTGATCACTGGGATAAGTTTCGTTTTAGTTTCTTGACGCTGCTGCCCTAAGCCCTTGAAAATGTTAACCTAGCCTCCTTCTCTTCATTATGATTTTATGCAATGTTTCAGGAGACATGATGGGTAAGGGAAGGAGTAAGACATGGTTACTAATAGTCAGTTCAGGAACCTTTTTCAGAAAAAATTGTCTCACCTGTGTATTACATCCCCAGCCTTCTCTACATGAGAAATTTCAATGTTTTTCCATGAGGGGAATTTGTAGAAATCCACAATGATATATTTTTTTTCTGTCTCTTTGTATCTGCAGGTCTAGAATTTGCATATTCACAGGCTCCTGAATACCTTAAAGGAGTGATCATGGCCCTTTTTCTATCAGCCTCTGGCATAGGAAGCTATATTGCAAACTTTGTAGTTGCTATTGTCAGCAGCAATTGGTACCCTGAGAAGGATCCCAATCAAGGTCATATGGAGTACTTCTTCTTCATGATGGCTGGTTTGATGACACTTAATTTCTTGTTGTTTCTGTTCATTGCATCCTCCTACAAATACAAGGAATCATCCTCACAAAGTGAAGAGACTGAGGAGGACCAGGATGCCCATGAACTGACTATTAGTGTTTCATCTGTGCATGGCTGAGTAACATGTGTCAATTTGCTACTGAATGTGCAAAAACTGTGGTGTGCACCTGTCATGTAGGAAGTCTTTAGTGCATGGGCTTTGAGACAATGCCGGCAATCAAAGTGAAGGGATTGCATGACTGATGTAGTATAGAATATAGTTCAAGTGCAAATCATCTAAAAGCATACAGGAACTAACAAAAAAAGGAATCTCTATTTTTTCCAGTATGTGTTCTGACCATGATTAAGGTAAAAAAGTTCAAGGAGTTTGGATTCTATTTCCAGGAGAGAATGTGAAAAGCAGATCCAAACTCTGTGGGAGCTAGTGGTGGAAAAAAAATTAATGTTAAAAAAAAAAAGGAGACAAAAAAGTTCCAAAATAAATAAACTATTTGGCAAGTTTTTACCATTCAAGAATTCTACAATTTATATTACTACATACCACACATGAAAATCATGCTTCTGGTGTGCACTGATTGGTTAATGCGGAAGTGGATAGCAAGTGCTAGGCAGCTGATGAGACAAAATCGCACATCACAAGTTTAATTTCCAACTATTTTTCTGTAAATTTAAAGAATTTAAATTATTTTTTGGTATCTGTGTGGCATATACTAGAACACTAACTTGGCAAAATTTCTGCACAGCCCCATACTTCATTATGCATCCATATATGGGGCTTTATTATTCAGTCGGCTGTGCGGAAATTTTTCCCACGAACTCATCTGAGTGTTGGTAAACATTGTGGATATTTACCTTATTCACCATTACTCACCTCCATTTTGGTGAATAATTATTGTTAATTATATCAGTTTCTGGACAATTTTAGTTATTAAGCTTGCATGTTACTGTAGGTTGACTAAAAATATCTGAGAGCAAATATTTTGATTTTGTGTTTGTTAGCCTTATAAATGAGAGAACTTGAGTACTCTATTCCTTTCACATAATCTGCCACCTAGTTTTTAAAGAAATTCATTAAAAGTTTATTTTAAGATTAATATGACAAGCACTCTTGGATTAGATAGGAATATACAGTAGACCAGGGGGTTCTAGGACCAGAACCTTTGCTCTGAGCTGAGTCTCCTCTTCCTCTTCAATAACTAAATGAAATACTAGACATGACCAAACAGAAAAGAATATAAACTCACCTCAATCAGTTCCTTCCTGGCCTACAAATCACTTAACATTTGTAATTACTTCAGAAAGCGATCGTGATTGGAATATTTCCACACCAGAACTTATGATGATTGGGAACATTGATCTTAGTGACGACGCGAGAAACATGAGTTCCACGCACATAGTTAACATCTTGTAAAAGTTGAATTGATTTCCCCTCGCAGTATCAATACAATTAGAATCTAAAAGACAGGTGATGGGAATAATGAAAGATTATAAGTTTAACTAATACCTAGATTACAAGAATTGTATGGCAGACAGTAAAGGAGAGTGAAAACTCTCCTTGCTTTCCCGCTCCTCACTGATCGTCTTCCGACCACTTCACCATTACTTTCCTACTAAAGAGCGTCGGGCTTCAATTAATTTTCATTACAACTATTACCCATTTTCATCAACCTTTAGATTATGGTAAACCTTCCAAGTGTTCCTCTTGCCCGCCGACGCATCGTCTGTTTTTAAAAACTGATACCATCGAAAATTCTCCATACCTGCTGCTTGTCAAACGTGAAGTGTGATGAGGCAAGGTGCTCACGTGATATCTTGTGACAATAAAGACAACAGTCCCGTGACATTCTGGTCACGGAACTATCGTGACTTGCTATTTAAATCCCATACAGTGAATTTATTTCGTCAATATTCGAAGTTTACCTTTGCGTAATACAACTTGCTTTCGTCTAAAGATCAAAAGTCTAATACGTAGCTACGAAGTTGACCTTGAGCTATATATTTACCGCACCAGTGGCAATTTCCTGGAGGAACGCATATCTTTGGTGAGTTTTGTGTCTCAGTAGTTGCTGAAATAACACGAGGTCGACTGATCATAAGTTACTAATTTTTTGGCTATGCATTTAATTCATCAAGATTTTTCTTTATAAGATGATTTGAAAGCACTTCGAGTTTATCTTAGTGATAAAGGATAATAAAAGATATTGTTTTCCTAAAAGTTACATGGTGATGTGTAATAAGATGTGTGCAAATTCATAACTTGTCGACTTTAACCTGGGAAAAAAACGCTTTACGTAGGATTACCCTCAGAATTACCTTAAATAGAAATAGTATGGCGTAAATAAAGGAATAGATCAACGGTATGCAAGGTTTTGGAAGCTAAATTGGACCTCACTGCAATAATCCCCCCCCACCCTTCCTTCCTGCTGTAAGGTTTAGTTGGGAAAGTTATGATTTTTCCTTCTTCAAAGAAACTAACAACATTCAGATTCCATGGAGACAATTTTTAAGGTACTGAAAAAAACTGTAATCCCCATATGACGTCTTACAATGAGAGGGAGGGGTCTTTTTTTAGAAAAAAGGAGAATCTTCACATAGCAACCTTATTGGAACAGAGAGAAGTGGTTGTCTTCTTGCAATTATTTCTTTTTTATTTATTACTTTATTGAAGCGTCATTTGCCAAATAAATGCAGTGTGACCTCAACCACTCTTACCAAAATAACTGAGAAACTATAAGTACCCTGTTGGTCATCCATTTATTGCACTATTATATCCATAGGAAATTAAAGTTTATTTCATAAAAGCAATATAATGCACTTTCTATTGGCTTACTGGCGTAATAACCCAGTTTTGGTGTTGGGAGGGTATGAGAAGAATGTGTAAATCACTTGCTTCCAGCTCATGATGTACAAACTATTCTTATGTTCTCCCAAATCCTGCGTGGATTATTGTGCTGGTATTAACCATCAAAAGTGCTCTCTATAGCTCAAATAATTCATTCATTGGCCAGACCATTTCATGAAAAGAGTAAAAACAAATTAAATTTTACAGAGTTATTGGATGTGGTCTACAGAAGAAGCTCTTGCAACTGTATGATCTTTACCTCTAATTTAATTTTTAATCTTATCATAATATTCTTACTAAATCAAATCTCTTTTCACAAGCCAGCCATGAGAAATAAGAAAGATCCAGTGCTGGAGCTTATCTTCGATGGAGCCAGCAGAAGTAATGCATTAGTAGACTCTCATCCTGAGCACATTGGAAGAAGAACCAAGATCTTGTTGGTGGTGTGCATTTTATTTAGAGAGCTTTGTGAATGTCTAACATTTTATGGTATTGTGGCAAACCCTGTGTTGTACTGCAGAGACTACTTGAAGCTTGAGGCACCATTGCCCAGCAGTATCAGTCTTACATTTCAAGGTAGATTACAGTGATTTTTTTGTCTAATGAACTTTTTCTTTTACATCAGATGATAATTAAGTATTATCAATTGAGTTGATAACTTACATTGGCCACCTTTAAGAGTTTCAAAGCTGAGGATTTGAATGTTAGCCCCTTGTCAGAGCTAATGACAAAGGGCCAATGCTTGAAATGTCAGCGTTAAAACTCTTTAAGGTGGCCAATTTAAGTTATCAACTGAGTTGATAATACTTAATTACCCTGTTATATCCTCCCACTAGTGCAGCTTACAGTTTCTTTAGAAACTTACCCTTGTATTTTTTTACATGTCATTAATGACCTTGATTGCATGATTTCCTAACAAATTGACTTTGTGGTTGAACAATCAGAGATAAGCAGGATTCTTTTAAGGACAAGCAGTTTCTTTGTAAAGCCAGCCATGAGTTTCCCAGTGGAAATAGCACAAATAAGCCAGATCAGAGCCCTGAGGAAATGCAACTTCTGGGTTCTGATAGAAATTGGCATTTAAGAAGCATTATAATTGCCTTTCAAACAACTAGGGCCAGATCTTCTGGAATTAATTGGTTTTTTAGCTTAAAGTGAGACTAGCCTGTTTGATTGACAATGTGTTACAATTTCAAGCTTAGGAGAAGTTATTCATCAATCATTTGTAAATGATAGTATCTAAAAGGGTAAATTCTATAAATTTGACCTCCTATGTGATTTACCAATGACTTCTCTCTAACTTGTCATTACATCATCTTGTTAAACAGGTGTTGCATGAATAAGACAAAAGAAAGATCTTAAACAGACAGAAAGATTTAAAACAGACAGCACTGACTTCACTGCAGTTTAATATTCAAGTTCACTGTGTAGATACAGTGAAATGTGGCCATTTTTTTTTTGTTTTCTTTTTTAAATATTTACTCCCAATATCTGATCACCAGATCACCTGTTTGCTAGAAAATAATTGTGGATATTATTGGGAGAAGTTACATGTTATCGTATTTGGGAGTTAAATGGTTAATGAAGATGTTTCACCAAAGATTTTCTATGTAGTGGTCAGTTGTGACTTACCTTTTTAAATAATGCTAGTTTACCTGTCTTCCTAGAAATTGTTTTCCTGCTCAGTGCTGCAAGCTGATAATTAAAAAGGCATGCAAGAGAGAAAGTCGAAAATGAAATCAGAGTAAGTGGTCTCATTTTCCTGCTGGCTTTTTTTTATCACATGGGAGGTGAGCCACCCAATATATGGCATTTCATGTTAGTCCCCAGTACTTTTCTGTCATTTGTGGTCAGGTGTATTTACCAACATGTAAAACAAGATGATTTGATTGAACTATTGCAGACTTTGATGAGATATCAGATTCAGATGCAGTTTTACATTGACTCAAGAATTTCCCTTGAAATCTAACTTAGTTCTTTTTTTCTTCAAGGCACCTCATTTTTTTCACCTGTGATCGGTGGCTGGGTGGCAGATACTTTTCTAGGGCATTACAACACCATATATGGAAGGTCTTTGCTTTATGTGGTAGGTGCTATTATTCTGGGTGCTGCTACATTTAACTATGGTGCTATATATGGACTGAGCACCGGAACTAGAGAGGCATTCTTAAAAATTGCGTTACTTCTCATTTTTATCGGAACTGGTGGAATCAAAGCCAGATCAAGAATGAGGGGCCCATAATTGTCCAGTGGTTCTTCGACTGGTTTTACTGGTTCATTCAGTTAGGACTTTTTTTAGCTTACACCGCAGTCGCTTTGGTGCAGCAAGAGGTGTCGTTCTTCTATGGTTACGTCATAACCGCTCTTTCAATGTTCTTGGCAGTCATATTACTCGTATGCGGTAGAAAATACAACATTACTCGTGAGCATAAAGAAAGCTACCTTTCTGAAACACTGAAGATAATATGGCTGGGATTAAAGAAGATTCGATGTCAGAGAAGCGCGCAAGTTGGGTCGCGCAAGTTGGGTCTATGGGCTAGACCGGGCTAAAGAGAGTCTGGGAGGAACTTACAAAGATCAAAGAGTCGAAGATGTCAAGTCAGTGCTGAAAATAGTTCCAATATTCCTTACATTTATCTTATACTGGACGATTTATGGACAGGTAAGCGTTAAGAGATGGATACTAACTGAGGGATCTCATTCAGATTATTTTAGTGGTAGAAGTACTGATTCTCTGCAGGTTGACTCAGATACCGTCTTGTGAAAAGGTTTTTTATTCAAGAAACTGACCGCTACACCAGATGTTACTTCGCTACGCCCCTCAACATAAGACACCAGATATTTGCAATGTTTGCATGAACGTTGTGCTTACATCACCTTTAGTGGGGATAAGGGGCTGATATGGGCGATGTTTGTACCTTTGAGGCGCAGAATAGTGAAATTGTGCTATTTCGGCGGTTCGATTGCGCTTAAAATGCTGTTAAAAATGCTACACATTTATGAGCGTATAATCCTCAGGGCAAAGGGACACTAAATTCCTTCTGCATGAACAATAGTACACTGTGTGTAGAATATATAGTGCTAACTTTGAGGCTGTTGACAAATATTATAAGCTTTTAACTCCATCGTACCAACAACAACAACAACAAAGATAAGGCACTGCGAAAGCCACACGCACAAACGTTATTTTTCCTACCCTTATAATGTCTATAATAACCTTGGTGATCTTGCCGGTATTCTGATAAGGGAGCTTGAGTGACGTCTACAACTTTTCTTGCTTTTCCTCCTAGGGCTAAACAAGCTACCTCCTTCAAGGTTCTTTCAAGAAACTCAAACTGTCCGAGCACTTTACAATGCCGGCGGCCTCTCTGTATCTCTTCGAGATCACCTTGCTATTAATCCTCATACCGATTGTGGATCGCATTATTTACCCATCCCTCCGTTACTTCGGCATCGACTTCACCCCCCTGAAGAAAATGGGTGTCGGAACGTTGTTTGCCATGGGGTCTGTCCTCATGGCAGGGTTTATGGAGATCGAAAGAAAAAAATACATTCACACACATGGTTATTTTAAACAGCATCCGTTCGACACTCCAGTAAATGCC